TTTTCTATGCTGTCCATTTTTTGTCGCTGTATTAGTATATTTCTGAAAGGTTACGGCTGTGTAACGATTTCAACACGCGATAGTTTCACCTGCGTAGTCACCCACGTCGATTAAACAGAGGAGAGGGACTGGTGTCAATAGTTGCCTCGATCACATTCGCTCTTCAGTTCCGGTCCATGTGCGATGATGGAACCAAGACGAAAACGTACGGGAGGCGGCAGTATTTTAGCATATCTTAACAAAAGGTCAAGACCGGAAACAGAAACAGGTATGTAAACTTTATTATTACCATTGTTTTTCCATTCATAGTTTTATCCAGTCGTCGAACTCGCCGCAAAAAATCAAAGATAAGATTATTCACTGGACAGCGACTGAATCTTTTCAACACGGCGGTAAATACACTTGCTCTCAAAAAAACTGCGTAAATCTAAGCTCCCAGGAATTGAAGCGCATTAAGACGCGGATGAGAAGCACAATCAAAGATGATATGCTTGAGGCACTGATGCAAATTTCTATTAATGGTCCAAAGGTGAAGGAATGCAGCGGTGTTGTGAAGAAGTCAGTGCAACAGTGGTTAAAGGAGAAGCCTAGAAGAAAGCTGGCCAAGAAGACTGCAACTGGTAATCATAACACCTGTACAGTTTCAACCAGTGATGCTGCAGTTCAAGTGGAGATTCCTGAAACTGAAGACGAAGAGCCTGAGAATATTGATGACAGCGAAGTAGTTCAGATTGAGGAGGAAGATCAGCTTCAACTTGAGGTTAATGCTGCTATTGCTGTGATGAAACTACCAGATGGTGGAGACAGTGACTCAGATAGCGCTTTTGAGTCAGACAACGATTATGACTAACGTTATTGTTATGTGCGTACTCTAAAGTTATAGTCTAGCAAAGCGTTACATTGCTTCGTCCTTGCTAACTAGTCCTTGGATAGCAGTTCTTTATTTATCCAATGCTGCAGTTGTTTAAATACCTTTTTAGGTAACAACCAGTTTTTAGTAGCTTTTACAAGCCAGGGAAACAAGTGGAAATCAGTAATGGAAAATGCTAGTGACCATAGATTAATAGTAGATTAACAACAAAGCAAGTTTGTCTTTCATTTTATTTGTAAACATTGTTTTCCTGTTTCATTTGATGTAATACTTCTTGACTCTTGCTATGCATCTGCGAATGCTTCACATTGCTGTATAATGTATATAATGAAACATTCCCAAGATTCAGTATTCTATGGGTGACGTAATCCTTTTATTAAAATTGAACTTCACCTGAAAAACTAAAAACAGTTGTCACTAATGCTGTTGTTACTTAATCAATATTTAGTACTGGATTTGATACCAGAATGCAGGAAATGGCATTTCCA